TATATATATATATATATATATATATATATATATATATATAAATAATATATATGTATATATATACTGCATACATGTTTAATAGACATCCTAAAAACGTTCCAGAATATTCCTAGAACGTTCTTAGGACGTCTAGTGAACATTTAAGCAGTATGGATATACAGGAAGAAGTATTATTATTCATAGAAACACAAATATCTTATGAAATATAAGTTTTATATGTACTTATTGTAAAATAATAGAAATAGTTAAATATAATGTATTATATTTATATATTTAACTATTTCTATTATTTTACAATAAGTACAATAAGTACAATAAGTACAATAAGTACATATGAAATATTATATATAATATTGTATATAATATAATTTAATTTAGACGTTTCTGACGTTTCTGACGATGTCGGAAGTATCCATGAATATTTTTATAGTGTTAATATAGTATAATATAATAACAATTTAATATATTTAATCTTATTGCTTGTCATCTTCAGTTGTTGGCTTTGCTTTTTTATTTTCATTTTCTTGTGTTGTCCTTTGCCTTTTACTGAAAATAAAAATAATGTAATAAAAGTGACAAAATAGCATGCAATTTGTTAAAGGGGACTTAGTAGTAAAAATTTGAAATACGAGAAAAAGATATGAAGTTGAATAATTTTGTATTTCTGTTTATATATAATAATGACGAATTCAGTATTTAAGTTTCTCATTTGCAATAAGATATGCTACTTCTAAATCGAAAATCGGCCCTTAATATATATTATAATCAAAATAATCATTGTTTAATTTTACATACAAGTCTACTCCGCTTTCAGCAAAAGGTATTCAGGCGATGAATGGTTGGACCGATTCAGACAAAATGTAAACTGCATCATCAAATATATGTTATTTATGTAATAATATAATATTGTTTTATATGAATATGTTATTAAGTATTATAAAAAGATTTCGTTGTTACTTGAATAGTATTTAAAAATGCTATGAAACAATGTAAGATAATCGGTTCATTATTTCATCGCCTGAAAGATTTTCTATTAAATCAAACGAAAAAGTAAACAATGGAGATAACCTTATGATGGATATTATGGTTCTAAAAATAAAAGACCGATTTTTGTGTATAAATTTGTTTTACATTATATAAACTAATCTATACAATTAGGAAATTTATAGAAAATTAAAATGTTATTGCTCAGTTTCTTTCACAAATCTATTAATTATACAATTTGTAGAAACTTACGTTTTGTTTGCTTGAAGATTACGTTCGTTTCTTAAAGTAGCTTGCACAAGCCACTTGGAGATATATTGAACAATTTCGTTCTCCGTCATTGTATCATCCGTTATGCGCACAGCTCCTAACACATTTATTAATATTCATATTTATAATATTGTAGCGATATAAAATTGAAATAAAATACAAAAATATTAATAGTATATCTCAATAACTTACGTAGAATACATTTCGAGAGCAACAGATCTTTGAATGCTGTTTTCTTCAATTTGCCAGTCCAACTGTACTGCCTAGCTAGCTCATTTGTAATCGCTCTTTTTAAAATGTTTATTAGCAATTCGTGGCTGTTACGTCCGCCGATTTTATTCAATGAAATTGCCTACGAATATTATAATGCACATAACATGTAATATTACTGAAATATTACTGTAAATATTATAGTAATATTGCAATATCGTGGCAATATTGCATTAATATTTCTGTGATATTTGTAATATTACGTGCTATGTGGGAATTTATTACGAATAAGAATGTATACACATATGTTTTTCTATTAAAAGGTAGTATATAATTATATTACATATCTGCTAGTGGCTGCGTTCCGCAAAGCACATCATGCGCATAATGCGCTGCGTTGGAGCAAAAGAGATACGAGAGTGAGATAAAAAAAGAGGGAGAGTACTCGGGTGATGTTCTCGAACGCATGAGAGCGCATGAACTACACTACCTCGGGAGCTGAGGCAGCCTATGCGCTCTCATGCGTTCGAGAACATCACCTAAGTGCTCTCCCTCTTTTTTTATCTCACTCTCGTATCTCTTTCACTCTAATGCAGCGTATCATGCACATAATGCGCTCTGTGGAACGCAGCCACTAGCAGATGGCATGGTGGAGGCTGGTAAGAATGAGTGAAATACACATATTCTCTCACTAATGAGTAATGTGTGTGTTTCATCTATTCCTACTCGTACCAACCATATGACTAGAAGAAAAGAACAGATATCCTTAAATACACAGTAAAAAATAATGTGTTAAATTTATATTTCATGTATCCCAAATCATCCACTCTAATTTATGTGTTAATTCAATGCAAAGCAAATATGTGAAAAAGTAACACGCATAAAATGTACAAAATTGACACAAAATTTGTGTTAAATTGCTATACGTAGAATGTTTAATTAACTAAAATAAAATATTACTGGAACATTTGAAAGAGAGAGAGAGAAAGAGATAGAAATATGTACTTTTCACAATTTTCTTATAAGAAAATATACTAGCACTGGTGGGACTCAAATTCGGATCTTTGGATTATGAGTCTATCGCTTTAGGCACTACACCACTTCTCCAATCTTCTATTCTTTTATCTGAGAACCAGTGATCTCTTTGTGATGAATAACATAAAAAATATGTCAATTTACCTTTATTAAATAACTTTATAAGAACTTATAAGAAACTTTATAAGAAATATGTCAATTTAACTTTATTATGTAAGTTATGTTATTTTTAACTTTTAGAAATAGTTATTATTAACTCAATGCAAAAATGTTACAATAACATAACGACAATATGTTATATTAACATAAGAGTATGTTACAAATTTAATACAAAAGTTTTAACAAGGATCGTTTTTAACACAAATACAAAATGTTTTTTACTGTGTACGGATTATTCTATTGGCAACAGACCATCTGAAGATAAACTTAAGGAAGCATTAAATATAAGGACAATGAACACGAGCAAATGTCTGTCCTTTAGATGTTGCCATGCTGCCTCTTACAACAGGGGCCAAGCTACCTGTAAGTCTATGATTGCAACAAAAGTTACCATCATCTATTTCCAGCGAAACCTCTTCATGCAAAGAATCGAGATTAAAGTACAACTTGACAATAACATGATCAAATATCTTTTACGTATGCAACATAAACATAATATATTTTTTATATTATAAATAACATACATACCTCTTCTTTGAAACCTCTTTTTTAATCTGCATCTGATGCGCACCAACTGGTAAACAAATTCTTCACTATTGCCGATAGATCTAAATTTGGTTTCAATAAATGTCAAATGTATGTTTTTTGTTTAAATATCTGTTCATATTGAATAATTAAATATTCGAAGGGAGAATTAGGAATTTAATTTATTTAAATAAAAATCTGAATCTAACCTTTTCTGGATACATACCCAGATAGCACAAAATCTTCAGAGAATATTCTGGGACGTTTTTAGGATGTATGAATGTCCTTAGAATGTCCTTAGAACGTCCTTTGAAGATTTGTGCTGTATAGGTATATGTATATTTCTTATTATAACGACCAATTTACAATTCCTCTATTAAAAATACAAGCCATCGCGCGTGATAT